AGTTTCTGATTATTTTATAAATATTTTTCTTAGGAGAAATATTTATATCAAGTTGAAAATGCACAAGATTTAGGCTTCCTCCTACATATAAATGATGAAGGGACAATTTTAAAAAATATCTTCTGAACTAATTTTTGAAGAGCTATAAAAATTATCATAATGATCTTAAAATTAAATGTCTGCAAAGAAAGAATAATAAAATATCCTTCATCACCTAAATATTCTGGAACCTATGGAATTATTAAATAAAATCATAATCAGTTCAATATTAACATTGACCATATGATGAATTCATCCAAGCAATTTCAAACAAAAGAGATTTTTCATCAGGGACAATATGGGACTCCTTTAATGATATGACATCAACATACTTTATACAACCTTTGCAATTTTTGAAACATATTTTGTGCCTACCAATTTTATGCATATTTTCAACCACTATGGAGTCATAGTTCTTAGCTAAAGTTCAAGATTTTGGACTAAACTGTAGAAACAATTCAGATGTTTGGAAAAATATGCTTCAGTTGTTTTGTTTTAGATTACAACAATTAAAATTCCAAGACAAGATGTGAATTATTTCAGGGAAGATGAAATCATTTTTAAAAGAATGGGAGTTTAGAAGCAAATGATCATATTTGTTATGTTATCATAATTGTTTTAATTAGTTATGATCCCAGAGGAATCCATCATATTGACAGCAAGCTTACCAGAGATACATAATGGGAAATCCATGTAACCGTCAACACACTTTCTGACTGATGGAACCACAAGCACATATCCTTCATTACACTGAAATTGTAGGTTCTGGTTACTTTGAATAAGCCGAGCTTTTCTTTGATTCCCAAACACAAACAAGTTTTTTGCTGCTAACTGTTGTCTTGTGATACTGCAGGGTGCTGAAAAAGAGAAAAGAAGGTAGATCTTCTCAAGGGAGATAATTTGTCCATTGGTTTCCCTCAGTTTCACTACCAAGAAAATCGGCCTGGTTTGCAAATCACAACTGACAGTTCCAGGCTAAAATCAAATAAACCAAGTTAGAGCACAGTATTATTGATGAACAAGTTATGATTCAGCAATAGACTTTAGACGTATCACAGAAGACTGGCTTGTAGGAGCATGTACAAACAGATGGTCTTGGTTATTTCAAGCTAAGAACAAACAGCCCAACTCAGAATCTTTTGCGAAGACATTTTGAGTTGACTGAGTTGTAACGGAACAGAATTTCAGACAGCTGGAGTATTCCAAAGTCTATTGAAATATGATGAAGATTGCTTCCCCTGATTTCATTTTTTTTTTACAATTTTATTTTATTCAAAAGGTTAAAATATAAAATTCAAAAGAAAAAAATAAACAGAGACAAAACTAAACTAGATAAAAACATTTAAAATGTGAATTAAAAAAGGTCAAAAGCACATATTCTATCCCTCCCTAGTTGAACACTGACAAATCTATTGCAACAATAATAATTCCACCCTTACAAAGCAGGTCCAGAATTGATAAGCTTGTACATCTATTTGCAATCCAATTGATCTGTCATGCATTACATAAATAAAATAAGAACTGTTAACAGGTTAAGCAACAGCAAAGTTAAAGTTCAAACCACTCACTATATCAACTTATTTGCTTGCACATTCAAACAAATTCTGCATTTTCTCCCAGGTCTACACTAGTCAAAGAAAGCATGATGGCTTACCCAAGCATTTTGGTGGATGAGGTGTCCATTCTTGTCCCTTACATTGAATCCATTCAGTTCCTTCCAAGACATAGGAAGGGTTGCACCTGTATTGTACTCGGTCATTTTCCAGGTACTTGGCTTTCTCAGTGCTCACAATTTCCCCAAAGTCAATCTCATTTGGTTCTTCACATTCTGAAATTATATTTACATTAAATTATCTCACCTGCTTCAACAAGCTTGCTCTTCCTATCTACTCTTATGAGGTGTGAGATAACAAATTTCCCTCCTAGATAATTAGTTCCCACTTTTGTCTAAACTAATAAACCAATACCTGCTGCACACTTATCCAAACTACAGGTAGTACTTGACTAATGACTCATTGCTTAGTGACATTCAAAGTTCCAAAGGGGATATTTACAACTTGGATTTGAAGTTCTGACAGTTGCCCACCCCAATGGTGACACGATCACAATTTGGACATTGGGCAACTTTATTGGATTTAGAGTCATGTATAGTGTCCTGCAGTCACATTACCCTGTTTTATGTCACTTTTGCCAAAAAATAGTATTTACTTGAAGTTTTATCATTCCCCTGCCCATAGCGAATCATTGTTTCTCGTAACAACTATGGATTTGCTTAACAACGATGGTAATTTACTTAATGGCCAGTACAAAAAAGATCATAAAATTGGGTCAGTCACTTTAAGACCATAACAACTTATTATCATGAGTTGGCTCCAAATGGGTCATAACTCAAGGACTACCTACAATAAGCAAACTTCCCTTGCCTAACCTAAACAAATCTGGGGATAGGAAGGTAGAGAGGTTGAAAGGCTATTAAAATTGCCCCACCAAAAGCATCACTTTGAATGCAATTCTGTGGAATTTCGTCCTTGCCAGTGCTTTGACTTACACTGGGTGGTCCTGGAGAAATCTTTCTGACAGTTTTATGTATTGGATTTCCATGATTAAACCTTTCTCAATTGTAATCACCCTATCCTCTTTCATCAGCAATATCCGAACAAAATTTTTAATGCTGCCAACAGTTCCTTTCCTAAAAAAAATAAACCATTGCTTACAGTACACATTATCTGTAGCTTTTTTGTTTTTATCAGGTCTAAATGCTGTCAGC